GTTTTATACTTAATATAACCAACAATATTTTTCTTCAAGTGTTCTTAAATTATATGGTAGGATTATCTACACTCAGGTTTTAATTAATGTCAGAACCAAAGATGCCTCTCAAATGTTTATCTGCAGCCCAGACCTGCTCTCTGAGCCCTAGACCCATCAATCTCTACTCCTTCTGTGATATATCTGTTTGGGTATTTTAAAGGTGCCCGAGACTCAACGCATTCAAAACCAAACCTGTAACCTACCCCTTTGTTTTCTTGGTCCTGTTGTATCATTTACACATCAGAAACCGGTCGTGACACCAACTTCTTCACCCCAATATTTAATCCATCAACAAGTTCTATTAATTTTTACTTCCTAAATAACCTTTCAGTTTTTCCCTCTCAGCCTCCACTGCTGTTTCTACAGGGATGAGCTATTAGCATTTCCTGGCTAGCCTCCAGCAGTGGTTTCTAACAGGGCTTCTCCTATATTTTACCCTTTTCTCCATAGTGTAGCCATTCTTCATACATACATGATTTCTAGATCAGGTCTCCTTCCCTGCCTCTGAGCCTAAATCTGCAGTGGCTTCCCATTACTCTGAAAATAAAACTTCCAAATTTTAATGGCCTCTAAGGCACATCATAACTTGGGCCCCACATTTTTCTTGCTATCTGCTCTCTACAATTTTTCCTCATGTACCATGCTCCCTTCCAATCTCTTGCTGAATATGAAAGAGGCGAAACAAATACGGTAGCAACAAGCTAGACTGAGCTAGCAGCAGGAGGCAGACAGAAGGTAAATTAGTACGCAAGTTCAAATAGCTATCTGAATTAAAAACTTGGGTCGGTGTGCCTCTAATCTAGGAACCTCTGTGACCTGGAGAGCAAGGGCACGACTCCTACTTGTATCTTCAGCACAGTTATCTGCTGTATTCTAGGCACTCCTTAAATGTATGGGTTGTGGATAATTAGAGGGTGATTGTCCGATTTTAAATACTCTTCATATCTAGTTGCCTCATAAATGCCCAAATTTTGATCAGACCTGTAAGTCCTGTTGCTTTTCTCTTTGTTGTTTTTTTAATTGGGAACTCCCAACGACAAACTCTGGGTACAGTTAAACAGCTGTGTTACATACTCTTACAGTCCTGGAAAAAATCACCATGACAAATGATGGTGAATGTGAAGACTTGCTAACTATCAGAGCTTGAGGTGTCAGTGAGCCATGTTCCCATATTTGGTACTCTGCAGTCATGATAATTATTGAGGGGTCAGAAATAAATTGTTTACGTATTCTTTAAGAAAGGAAAGAATAAGGCACATTTTATAAGGCTTTCCAGTATATTTACTGTTAGATTCTGCAGTAGTGTATATATTCTGCTACTATTTAGAATTCTTAAGAAATTAATCTTCCTACATCATTTGAGGTGGTGACAGTTTAGGTGCCAAAAGTTTGCACCTGATGCTAGAAACATTTCTAGCAAATATGATTTCTTTATTTTCTCAAAAGAGCAGTCATGTTGCATCTTAACTATAGAAAATATGTTTCAGGGCGCCTGGGTGGCTCAGTCATTAAGCGTCTGCCTTTGGCTCAGGTCATGGTCCCAGGGTCCTGGGATCAAGTCCCACATCGGGCTCCCTGCTTGGCAGGAAGCCTGCTTCTCCCTCTCCCACTCCTCCTGCTTGTGTTCCTGCTCTCGCTGTCTCTCTCTCTGTCAAATAAATAAATAAAATCTTTAAAGAAAAAAAAAAGAAAATATGTTTCCATTTATTATTAGAAATAATTTTCCAGATTAAGTTATATTGCATGGTTTTCCTTTTGAAATTAAATACCACCTGCTGTTTGTTTGTTTCAGCAATGAATTTATTTGTAAAATTTATTTACTCACCACAAAGGCTACATTAAAAACAGTTATCTTGCCATGTCCTTAAAGTTTCCCTTGCTGGATATAGAATGTGGGTTGATGTTTTTTCTTTCAACACTTACATTTTGTCATTTGACTGTCTCCTGGCCTCCACAGTTTCTGATGACAGGTCGACATTGGAATTGTTCCCCTCTGTCATTTCTTTTGCTGCTTTCAACATTTTCTTTGATTTTCAGCAGTTGGACAGTTATGCCTATGTGTGGTTTTCCTGGGCTTTTCCTGTTTAAGGTTTGAGTCTAGCCTGTTTAGGTTTTGATATTCTTCAGTAGGATCTTTCTTTGTTTTTGTGTTGTTGTTGTTGTTTCAAACAAGCTCTGGCCGGTTTTATTAAACATTTTGCATGATTTACTTTTCACCAGTGTGTTCTAACATGCTTCTAGTGATATCAGAATCACCTGGATCAGTGGTAGCCAGCACATACTGGCAGAATGTTCCACGTGCTATGCCCAATCCGGTAGTATTGCTACTGTAGTGACGGACACCATTTTTGGCCTGTGCGGCTTAGTACTATTTCAGATTTCCTCAAGGCTTGGGCAGTTGTTACAGAGGGCGACCAGTTTTGCTTTGCCTTGCTGATCATCTTTAGAGTCTGCTCCTGCCCCAGCAAGGACTTTCCACTTTTCATGAGAGGTTAGAGCCTAGAGTTGATTGACTCCAGCAACTTTTTTGTTGTCTTTGCAGCCACCATCTTCTGCCTTATGTGTGGGATGATCCCCAACCAAGAGCAGTCACCAGGGTGTCTGGGGAGGTGATCAAGATCTCCTTGATCTGTAAATTTATATCTTTTACTAACTTGGGGTTTGCAGTTGGGAGTTCTGCCTTATGTGTGGGATGATCCCCAACCAAAAGCAGTCACCAGGGTGTCTGGGGAGGTGATCAAGATCTCCTTGATCTGTAAATTTATATCTTTTACTAACTTGGGGTTTGCAGTTGGGAGTTCTGCCTTATGTGTGGGATGATCCCCAACCAAAAGCAGTCACCAGGGTGTCTGGGGAGGTGATCAAGATCTCCTTGATCTGTAAATTTATATCTTTTACTAACTTGGGGAAATTTTTAGTCAGTATTTCTTCAAATAGTTCTTTTCTACCCCACTGTCCCTCCCCTATGCTTCTGGATCTCCAATTACAAGTACTTTAGACTTTGTGATATTTTTCCACAGGTTCCTGAGATTCTCTTCCTCCCCTCACCCACCCCACCCCCGGTCATTTTTTTTTTCTCCATTCTTCAGGTTGGAACAATTTCTATTGCTTTATCTTCAAGTTCACTGACTCTTCTGTCATTTCCAATATGCAGTTAAATCCATCCAGTGAATTTTTTATCTCAGACATTTTATTTTTCACTTTTGATTTGAGTTTGGTTCTCTCTCTTTTTTTAAAATATAGTTTCTGTTCATTTGCTTTTTTTTATCTGAGATCCAAGCATATTTGCCCTCACATCTTTAAGCATAAAGTAGCTGCTTTAGAATCCTTATGTGCTAATCATTCTACCATCTGGGTCATCTTGGGCTTGCTCTCCCTTGGTTGCCTTCTCTCTTGAGTATGGGTCAGTTTTTCCCGTTCCTTACGTGTTTCTTAAGAAAAGGACGTGTAGAAACTCTGGATTCTATTGTGTTCCTCCAGTAGTGAGCATTGATGTTTGGTTGGTTTGCTTGCTTGCATTTAGGTAGGCAGTTAACTTGGCTGAACTCCCAACTGCAAACTCTGAAATCTCAGTTATTTTAGCTTTGGCCGGGCTGCTTGGAATCTCACATATGTGTAGTTTGGGGATCAGAGATGTGTGCAGAATTTATACATAGGATTTGGTGCTCCTCTCTTCTTGTGATTTACCTTACTAGGTTTTCAGCTGGTGTGGTTATGCCAAAGTCTATCCTTTGGTTCATTAAGCAAGTAGGGCTGTAGGTTTTCTGTCTAGGTTTCAGCTACCAAACCAGCTGGGGCCTGCTCTCTGGCTAAATGCCATTTAAAAAAGGGAAAATCACCCCATGCTGTTACCTTCTAAGTACTGACTCCCTTCTCCTCCCCACCATCCCTCTGTTGCTGTTTATGCTTTCTGCCCTCAAGTAGTTGTTTTTATACTTTGTCTAGTGTTTATAGTTGTTTATGAGAGAACTGATCTAGTAGGAGCTACCCAGCCATTACAGGAAGTGGAATCCCTAAAATACAGTTGTACATTTGAACAAAGAATCTTGGAAATTTGTTTTAATGATGGAATCAGTTGAAATTTATATTCATGATTCATCCTCCTCTAGTAAAGGTGGTCTGACTCAATTAGAGTGAAAATTTATTTGCCTCTCCCTCAAATTGTGTAAAAATTTCCAAATCTAGATCATTTGAAATGTGTTTTAGAAGCAAAATAATATGAAGAAACCATGTAAAGAAACAGTAAAACCTTCTTTTCTTTTCATCCAACAAATGTTGCATCTTTGACCTAGGTAGGTCCTGGGGATGTAGCAGTGAACTTCAGAGTTCTTGATCCTATGGAGTTAACATTTTGGGAATAGATAGATAGGTAAAAAATAAATACATATCAGGTATTGACAACTGCTGTGAGGAAAAGCAGGGTATGAGGATGTGATGGGGGGAGACCATTGTGGCATTATTTTAGGGAGATGGGTCAAGGAAGCTGTTTCTGAGGAAGTAACGTGATCAGAGATCTTAATGAAGTAAGGGGGGGGGGGGCATGCAAGTATCTGAGGATAAAATGTCCCAGGCAGAAGGAGCAACAAGTGTAAAAACACTAAGGGAGGACAGAGTGGCTTTTTTGAGAACTAGCCAGAACTGAGGGAACTAGGAGAGTGACAGAAGTGAAAAGTCTGAGGGGTGGGAGTTAGCCAGGGGCCTTGTGTTGTAGGATTTTGAGCAGGGGATTTTGCCCTGATTTACTTTTCACAGAGATCACTTCGCTCAACAGAGTGAGGGGCGGGGGTGGAGCAGAAAGTGAAGGCAGGGAGGAAACCAGTTAAGAGACCTTTGCAGAGGCATTCTAGGTGACTTACAGTGCTGGCTCAGGCAAGAGCAGTAACAGGTGGGAGAAAGTGGTCAGATTCGGCATATTGTTTGCAGATACAGTGAACGAGACTTGATGCTGGATTAGATACGGGATGTGAAAGAAGGATCAACGGGATAAATGATGGCACCATTTACTGGGATGAGAAAGACTGGAGGGATTGGTTTGGATGGGGGGAATTAAGAGTTTAATTTTGGACATGCTAAGTTTGAAGTGAGTTTGAGATGTCAGGCAGGTAACTGGCTATATTAGTGTGGAACTCAAGGGAGAGAGCTCCCTTGGCCTTGCAGAAATAAATTTGCAAAGCCTCTGTGTAAAGCAGTATATTTGGATGAGCTGACCCTGCAGAGGAATGTAGTAGGTATAGTTGAAAAGAAACCCTAGATCTGAACTCCATTGTCCGCCAACATTTAGATGTCCAGAAAAGAAAGATCTGACAGAACTGAGAAGGAGCTCCCGGTGGGTGGGAGAAACACCAGAAGAGTATAAATCTCGGAAGCCAAGTGAAGCCCTTGTTTAAAGAGGGATTGGTTGACCGAGTCCTAAGCTATCACTGGATGAGGCCTGAGGACTACTCGTTAGGTCTGACAACCTGAAGTTCTCCGACAGCTTTGATGAGTATAGTTTCAGTGGACAAAAACTGGGAAAGCCTGATTGGGGTAGGTTTAAAAGAGATTAGAAGGGAGGAAGGGAAGATACTTATGTATAAACAACCCTTTCAAGTAGTTGTAGCCCAGAAGAGGGAAGGGGCAGAGAAATGAGCTGATAGCTGAGGTGGAGTCAAGGGTGGCTTTCTCAAGTTGAACAGCCTTCAGTTATTTTTAAGTATCATTTACTAATTTTCAGTACTTCTCTTTTTTCCTCTAACCCATTGTAGCTCTTACCTATGAGAAGTCACATAGATGAACGAATCAAGGAATTTAATTAAATAATAATAAAAAGCTGAAAGGCTTTACTATGCATATCTAAATGAGCTTCTATTCTGTTGAGGATTCAGGAGTTCCGCCATAACTAAATTTGGTAAAAAATACTTTCGTATATACTGTTGCACTGAATACTGCCGACACAGTGCTAGCTACACAAGAAGGGACAGAGGGCCTGATGCCTATATTCATGGAGTTTACAGGTCTGTGTTTTTTTTAAGCTTATGTTAGCAAAATTAGAATACTACACATAAGAAATCTGTTTGAAAGAGATTGTCTTATTGTTAAATTTATCAGAAACTGAAATGATTAAGAAAATAGCATGATAGTTAAATATTTTAATGTTATTTAGGTTTAATATACTTACATACTGTTTATATCCCAAAGAGGCTTTCAAGATTAAACATGGTTTGCATTAAGAATAAAATCAAGTTAGGTAGGTCTCAACTTTGGCCACACATGAGAATTACTTGGGGAAGATTTAAAAATCCATATGCCCAGGCTACTCCCCAACCAATTAAATCAGGACCTTTGGGGTTGAGGCTCAAGCGTTAGTATTTTTTAAATATTAATTCTATTAAAAACAGGGAGTAAAATGCTACTAATCTCCTGAGGATGAATTCATTGCATATTTAAGGATTAAGTATATCTGAAAGTTAAGGTATCAAACATACTGGGTTATAGATCATTTTTAGACAAAGCATGCAAAGTCATTTGTAAAACCAGACTTTATCAGGATCCAGACTTTAAAAATGTTAAGTAGAGTAAATAAGATTATGCACCTCAGGCTGTCCTCAGATTATTAAGAAAAATGTCAGAAAGTTATTCATTTTCCCCTTTTAGAAGAATGAGGGAAGACATCCTTGACAATAATTTCTTAAAAGCCTTTTGGAACAGCCATCATAAAGCATACAAATAGATAGGAATTAGTCTAAAAGTTTGCCAGCAAGAGTTATAAATCGAAAAGACATAACCATCTGGAAGGCCTTATAGGACTAAATAATTTTTTGATAACTTACATTAAATGTTAGTTACTAAAGCACGTACCCTATGTATTGAAATTTTAAATTCACAACAATATTCATTCTCTAATCAGTTGTCATTAAAATTTTTTTTCTTTCTTTCACAGAAAATGCTTGGACAGAAGAGATGAGTACTATTTCCACTAAGGCCTAGAATTGCCTACTGTACAAATAGTCCTGATCAGGCAATATACGAATGGCCCAAGGAAGCCACCAAATTGATTTTCAGGTTTTACATGACCTGCGACAAAAATTCCCTGAAGTACCTGAAGTTGTTGTATCCAGGTGCATGTTACAGGTCAGTGTGCATCGATTTCTGAACTCATTCATGTAAACCTGGGTGGTGGTTTTTTTCATATTGGAAGAAAACTCTTTTATCTTCTTGTTGGCATTAGTGTGCTATGATGAAAAGAAATGAACTTTGGTGTCTCATAGTTAGGTGGCCTACTTAAACGAGGTATTTCGGCTCTCTGGCATACAGATAATATGCCAGAACCGGGTTCAGAACCACCGATCCAGTGATGGTTCCCAGAAACTACCTTGTAAAGTAGGTATGAGGACTAAACAGGAACCCAATAGAAAGTGTTGGTACGTGGTCCATACTTACTGTGAGCTTGCTTCACTTTTCCCCCACCTGTTTTGCCAGAATGTTTTTAAATTCCACATCTTCATATGAAAGTGAGAAAATCATTAAATAAGGAGTCAGGAAACATGGGTTCTAATCCCAAATGAGCACCCCAAGCTGATTTGGCGAGTAATATGCCTTCTTTATACTCTAGTTTGCTTGTCTGGAAAACAGAGGAATTTGACTTCAACAATGCCTCAGGTCCCAATTCTAAAGAAGAAAGTTTGTTTTTATATTTTTTAATTTAATCTGTAGGTTTTCCAAATACTGTCACTAACCATCTAATAAATTTTTACTTTTTTCTTGTCTGTACAATTTTAGAAATCCATAATTCTAAATATTTAGTGATAGTTGTGCCTTCTCATTTGATAAACTAGAAATCTTTCCATCAAAAACTATCTTTCAGCTTGTTAAAATAGAGATATAAAAAGGTAATTTGGGCTCAGATATATTTACTTGACAAATTGTTTTTAAAGTTTGAAATTATATGAAATTTTTAAAGGCTCAACACCTGTACTTGATGCCAAGTGACTACATTTTGTTCACACCCTTATCACCTTTTATCTGTACATTTTAATTACCTGCCTTTAGTTTAATCCAGTTTTGGTCTCTCCAGTCTATCCACCTCACTTCTGCCAAGGTGTCTTTCTAAATGCAGATTTTGTCATGTATTTACCTGCCTAAAAACCTCATGATTGTTTTCCGTACCCTTCAGAATAAAGTTCATGTATCGTGAGTAGGGCATACTAGGTCTGTGATCTGGAATCCTGCCTTCTTCTGCAGCCTGGTCTCTTGCCTAGTCCTTCCTCTTCACACCCTGTGCTGCAGACGTCCTCAACTGATTGGAATTCTCTGAATATGCCTGGCTTTTTCTATAGTATAGTGTTTAAGAGAATATGTTTTGAGTCAATAATACTGTATTGTGTCCTTGAAATTCACAAAAAGTGGATCTTAAGTGTTCTCACCACCACTGAAAAAACACTTGGGGGTGGGGGAAGACTGTAAAGTGGTGGATGCATTTATTAACTTGATTTTAGTGATCATTTCACAATGTATAAATATATTAAGTTGTAACATTGTATTTACCTTTAAAGAATCACATTGTACAGCCTAAATATATACCGTTTTTGTCGATCATACCTTAGTAAAACTGGGGAGAAATAAGTAAAAGTAAAATTTAAAAATTAAATAATAAATAGCATATGTTTTGGTGATAAACAGACTGGAGTTCAAGTTTTAACAGTTACTAGCAGTAATTTAATTAACCTCTCTGACCCTCATTTTCCTCATCTGTATAGTGGGAATAAAAAACTTCACAGTGAATTAAATATGATGCAGATAAAACAACTGGTAGGATACCTGATTCATAATGAGTGCTCAGTAAATGTTAGCAGCCATTACTAATAACAATAATAATAGTAGAAGACCTATAATAAATATTTGGTGAATGAATCAGTAGTCCACATTAGTTGATATAGTATGTAAAAGAAAAAATGAAAAGTTAAAAAAAAAAGTAATGACTGGAGTCAGAAGTATGGGGAGGAGCAGAGATAGTTGGGGGGGGGGGGTGTTTTCCCCGTAGAACCCAGGTACCTCTTTCTAACTTTTCAAATAGACTTTAAAATAAAATAACATTATACCGAGAGAGTTCAGTGAGTCACTGAAAAATAGAAAAATAATATAGTTCTTCAATAAAATGTTGTAAGACTTGATATGAAAGAACTGTCCAGAACACTTTCCCAGTAGCACAGCTGTAGAGATTTTGAAGAACCTTAACTGGGAGCATTTTGTATAATTATTTAAATTATTTTCAGAGCGCCTGGGTGGCTCAGTTGGTTAAGCGACTGCCTTCGGCTCAGGTCATGATCCTGGAGTCCCTGGATCGAGTCCCGCATCGGGCTCCCTGCTCGGCAGGGAGTCTGCTTCTCCCTCTGACCCTCCCAACCCTCCCCCCTCTCATGTGCTCGCTCTCTCAGTCTCTCTCTCTCAAATAAATAAATAAAATCTTTAAAAAAATAAATAAATAAATAAATAAATTATTTTCAAAAAAATAGAGTGCTGCAGTATGGTTTTCAGGGTGTATTAAATTAAAATGCAGGGTAGTATGTATAAAGGAGGATGGGGGTGCGCCTGGGTGGCTCAGTCGGTTAAGGGTCTGCTCCTGATCTCAGGGTCCTGGGATCAAGCCCCACAAGGGGCTCCCTGCTTGGCGAGGAGTCTGCTTCTCCCTCTCCCTCTGCCCCCTGCTTCATGTGCGTGCACACACACAGATTCTCTCTCTCTTTCAAATAAAATCTTTTAAAAATAAAAAAATAATAAATGAGGATGGGGGAGTAAATATTCACATGTATATTTGCCCTTGTTTGCATAAAGAAATACCAGAAGGATTAAAAACAAAATTAATAAAAGATAGTCATCCATAGTGAGCAAGAGGGAAAAGGCCAGATGGGGATGGAGATAGAAGTGAGACATCTCAACATATATCTTTCTCTATTGTTTTGATCTGTATAAATGAATTACCTACTTTTTTAAAATGTAAGAAGTAAGCATGTGTTCAGTTTTACCAAAAAAGAAAATAAATGATTTTGAATTTCTTTTGGGTACCTGGTAATAACACTTTCACCGTGTTTATCTGGTTTTACAAAGACAGACCTCCCTAAGGCATGCTTCCCAGCATCTAGTGATAACTAAAATGAAATCCATTTTGCTTGCAAATTACCATTCTTTTAAATTGAGTTGATAATCATTCTGGGCATCTAAGTAATGTGGGTTTTAGCTGATATAACAAGAAATGTTAAAGAAAGGAATGGGGAAGCCTCCTCTGGGAATACAGCTAGGGTGTACATCTTCCCAAATTTGGGGAGATATTTTTAAAGTAAAAGTAAATTTAGCTACCTCTAAATGTACTTCCAAACATCTCTTACTTGGTGACAGACTTTTCTTTTGGGAGCTGCTCTCCCTTCCTCAGTTGGGTAGGCTTCTGTCCTTTCTCTGGAGAGAGCCTCCCTATAAAATACTGGTTCCGAACTTTTCTAGATGAAAAAACCGTGGTATAGAAAATATAAGAAATTTAGTCATCAAAGGATCATGCTGTGCTGCCACTTTGTATATTTGCTCTTAAATATCTTGCTTCCTGAGAGAAGAACAGAAGTATCTACCCTCTGTTCTCTTCTTGACTTTATTTATTGCTCAGATTCTTGTTTGGAACTACTTATATCATTTCCTTGTGCTGTGGATTCTCTAAGATGGCAATAATATCAGCAGGTGTAACTCATATCTTTAAATTTTATTTATATTTGATAATTGAATCTTAGAATAGTGTAAAAATATTGCATAGTTGACACTCTGACTTTTTTCCTTTTTTTCCACTGAATTATTCAATTCTCTTAAAGTGACAATTTAATCTGTAAGTTTAAAATTTGCTATTCCTTTTCAAAGCAATGTGTTAGTTGTGTGCATTCAGTATTTGTAAGACTTAGTATTTAAGTACCATATCCTTAGTTGAAACCTTTTCAGATGACCTCCACCCATAGTCCTTATCATATTCTTATTAAAACACCTGTCAGTCTGTATTATATTTATTTGTGAACACATTAATGTCCTCTACTAGACCATGAGATCCTTAGCAGCAGTTGTATTCTTTCCTACTTGCCTAATGGAAGCTCAGTAAATTGGTTGAAGGAGTGAATGAATCAGAGTTAGAGAAGGATGATCCTAGGAGATATTTTGATACTATCTGTAATCTCTGTGTCTGTGCAAGAAGCTTGGGGAAAAATGCAAGAGGAACTGGAAATAATGAGTCAGACCTTTTGTAGCTTTGAAGAGAATGAATGCAGATTTGCATATATACAAAAAAGCAATGATTTTCAACCTTTTAGAAACTTATCCCACGCCTTTTGTTACACTTAAAGGGAGTCTCACTGAAAGTAATTGGGGTGTCTTTGAGAAATAGATGATTCCAGGTCTAGGATAAGAAGTGTACAAGATGATTTTGGACTTCTTGTCATATCAGAAAACAAGCTATGAAAGACTACTAGGTTCATGTCATATGTACACATGAGCCAACTTGAAATCATTCCCACCAGCCTAAAGATAGGATATAATGACCATAATCAGTTGATACACATCAAAATGTTAAAGATAACTGGAGTTTATGAGGATACTGAAAATAAATCTTAGTAACTTTTAGAGGTTGCTAAGGGCATCAATTCGTTATTATAAAAAACCAGTAGAGAGAATTTATTTATCCTTTTTCTTCTGTGCAAAGAGTACTAAATAGTTGAAGAGAGCAAGTTCTTTGAGGAAGAACTGCAGCTCATACACAAAGAAGGAATCTTATAATTGGGATATCACCAATATCACCATTTTGCAACCCCTAATGAGATAAAGATTCTAAAGTGATCATCAGTAACTGCTTGAAATCATTAGCTGGATCAGGCTGATAACATCAGAATCTGCCCGTCAGCTTTAAGATCACAAAAGGACAGACAGACATTGTGTCTCCTTGTGTGATACAGTAAGAAACAGACCCTATAAAGAGTCTTGCCAAAAATTCATACATGAACCTGCTGACACTTAGAGTTACAACTACTAGTTCACAATGAAATACAGCCGATATTGACACCACAGAGTGCACCTATCCAGTCTAGATGGGAAATTCTGCTGCACAAGTG